TTCACCATGTTGGTGAGGCTGGTCTCAAACTCCTGACCTCAAATGATCCACCCAACTCCGCCTCCCAAGGTTCTGGGATTACAAGCATGAGCCACTGCGCCCGGCCGTGAATTTTTTTTTTTAAGAGATGGGATCTTGCTGTGTTGCTTAGGCTGGAGTGCAGGGGCTATTCACAGGAGTACTCATAATGCAACACGACCTCTGATTGAATTGGTTAAAGTGATCCTCCCACTTCAGCCTTTCAAGTATCTGGGACAATAGGCATACGCCACACTGTGCTCAGCCCTGTGATCAATTTTAACTTTTGTGTATGGTATAAAGGTCCAAATTCATTTTTTGCATCTGAGTATCCAGTTGTCTCAGTATCATTTGGTGAAAAGACTATTGCTCCATTGAATAGTGTTGGCATCTTTGTTAAAAAGTAAAACCTCCCTGGAGGTCTAGTGGTTTAAAAAAAAAACACAAAACAACCGTTAGAGCTTATTTCTATATGCTGTTTTTTGTTTGTTTTTTTGAGACGGAGTCTTGCTCTGTTGCCCAGACTGGAGTGTAGTGGCGCAATCTCAGCTCACTGTAACCTCTGCCTCCCAGGTTCAAGTGATTCTCTTGCCTCAGCCTCCTGAGTAGCAGGGATTACGGGCATGCACCACCAAGCCCAGCTAGTTTTTGTATTTTTCATGAAGATGGGGTTTCACCATGGTGAGGATGGTCATGAACTCTTGACCTAATGATCTGCCCACCTTGGCCTCCCAAAGTGCTGGGATTATAGGTGTGTCACCATGCGTGGCCACAATTTTAAATTTCATTAAAATTTTTTTTTGCGATAGGGTCTCGCTCTGTTGTCCAGGCTGAAGTACAATGGCATGATCTCGGCTTACTGTAAACTCTTCCTACCAGGTTCAAGCGATTCTCGTGCCTCAGCCTCCCGAGTAGCTGGGACTACAGGCATGTGCCACCATGCCCAGTTAATTTTTTGTATTTTTAGTAGAGACGGGGTTTCACCATGTTGACCATGGTCTCGATCTCTTGACCTCGTGATCCACCCGCCTCGGCCTCCCAAAGTGCTGGGATTACAGGCTTGAGCCACTGCACCCGGCCTCTAGGAGCTTTTTAGTGATGCCCTTAGGATTTTCTCTATTTAAGATCATGTTTTTGAGTCCAGTCCCAAGATGGCGGCCACCATGAAGAAGGCAGCTGCAGAAGATGTCAATGTTACTTTCGAAGATCAACAAAAGATAAATTTGCACGGAATACAAGTAGAATCACAGAGCTGAAGGAAGAAATAGAAGTAAAAAAAGAACTCCAAAACCTAGAAGATGCTTGTGATGACATCATGTTTGCAGATGACTGCTTAATGATACCTTATCAAATTGCTGATGTTTTCATTAGCCCTTCTCAAGAAGAAACACAAGAAATGTTAGAAGCAGCAAAGAAAAATTTACAAGAAATTGACGCCTTAGAATCCAGAGTGGAATCAATTCAGCGGGTGTCAGCAGATTTGAAAGTTCAGTTGTATGCAAAATTTGGGAGGAACATAAACCTTTAAGCTGATGAAAGTTAAACATTTTATAATACTTTTTTCATTTGTTTAATAAACTTGAATATTGTTTAAAATGATAATTTCCCTTCAAACGACATGGAAAGCAAAACTTTCTTTTTTTAAAATTTTCATTTATTTAATGGAAACTTGCCTATTTTCACGTCTTGCTTATTTATTTTATATTTTTAAAAGAAGACAGTATTCACCTATGTATTTTGCATACCGATTATATCAAGTCTAGGGTCTTTATGTCATGTTATTAAAATCAGTTAAGCAATCAAAAAAAAAAAATCACGTTTTTTTTTTTTTTTTTTTTTTTCAGATAAGGTCTCACTACCTAGTGGCATGGCTAGATTACACAGTAGATGTACTGTTAACTTTTCAAACAAACCAGCAAACTGTTTTCCAAAGTGGTTGTAACATTTTACATTTCCATCAGATGTGTATTTGGCCCTGAATTTTTTTGACTGATCTGATCTCTTCCCCTTGATAGGAAAATCTGAATGTTTCCAGTACCCAGGAGTGTGCCATGTCCTAAAGCCTTGTACATTCAAAACAGCATTTAATAAAACCTGAAGAGTGCTGTGGAAATATAAACAAAGCATATAGCTGTTTCTTTTGGGAGTGGAAGCAGTGGCCAGTAAAGGGCATACAAAGGCTATGTATAAACTCTTGTTAAGCCTAGCTAGCCAACTAAATCTTGGAAGACTTATGTTTACAAAGACTTCATCTACCACAATGAGAAAAAATGTTATTGACAACAATCTTCAGCAGTATACAACTCAGATGCTCCACTGAGGTGAAAGAAATATGGACATGATACTAAGCAAAGTCTAGTCTTTTCCATAAAATAAATAAGAAGTAGGTTTGGTGGAACATTAATCCTCACATTTTGATAGGGCTATGTAGCTTTTATTTTAAGTCAGCAACATTAGAATGAGTTACAGAGAGTTTTACTTTTGCAAATATAGTGAGTGACAGATGGTAATTACAGGAGGCTATTTCAACAAAGGTGGATATGAGCCTAAACAATTTCATCTAGATAAAATATTGATGTAATAACCAAACCATATGGCCCCATTTCATAAAGTGTACTATATTCTATAGACTAGAGAGTGAAGACGTGGCCTTTCTACCCTAGCTTACCCTACTCTTGTTATTGTTCAATTTCTACTGAAACTTGTATAATTAGCTGCCAACAGGTAAATGCTATTGCCTAGCAGAAGACTGCACTTCTGTTCATACTAGAACCAGCAGGGGGAACTTGACTTTAAAAATCTAGGACCAGAATCTTAGGAAGGGTCTCATTAGAAAACTGAACTGTATAGGGACTTAAGCAAAAACTATCCCAAAGAATTTGAGCTTTAGTGTGATAATGTCTTTTCAGAGATTGTAGCACATGAAGAACCCATGGACGCGACATAGAATATGAACAGTTAGCAGAAAAAGATCTCGTGACTAAAGTGGGGAAGAATGCAAAAAAAAAAAAAATTTACAAAAGGAAAAATAATTGAGAATACAGAAATATTTACAAGATGTTAAAAAATTACTAATCTTCAGCCAAACTGAGGCCCCTTCGCACTCCCAAAAGCTTTGCTTTCTTCTCCTTTCGTTCTTGCTCATGTTTCTTCCGTTGCTCTTCCCTGAGAGGGACAGGTCACACATTAAGCTCTAGTGAGGCTCCACAACAGACACTTTAAAGCGACTGTTGTTGGACTAACACCAAAACTTTTAAGCAATGATATCCAGCATACTTGTGTAAAACAGACTCTTACAGGGCACTATGCTCTGCCTAGTGTTTCTGACACCTGTTTGTCGTTGTTTTAAAGGTCTAGAAACTGGTATTTTCCTTTTTGCTAACTGGGCACTCTAAAATCATGCGTGGTGGCTCACACCTGTAATCCCAGCGCTTTGTGAGGCTGAGGCAGATGGATCACAAGGTCAAGAGATCGAGACCATCCTGGCTAACACAGTGATATCACATCTGTACTAAAAATACAAAAAATTAGCTAGGCATGGTGGTGGGTGCCTATAATCTCAGCTACTAGAGAGGCGGAGGCAGGAGAATTGCTTGAACCAGGGAGGCAGGGATTGCAGTGAGCTAAGATCTTGCCTTAGCACTACAGCCTGGGCAACAGAGTGAGACTCTGTCTTAAAAACAAACCAAAACAACAACAACAACAAGCCAGTATAATGGCTGATGCCTATAATCCCAGCTACTGGGGAGGCTGAGGCAGGAGAATCACTTGAACCCGGGAGGCCAAGGTTGCAGTGTGCCAAGATCGCGCCATTGCACTCCAGCTTGGGTGACAGAGCAAGATTCAAAAAAAAAAAAAAAAAAAAAAAAAAAAAAAAAAAAAAAAAAAAAACCAAACCAAACAAAAAAACACAAACAATAAAATCATGCATGGAATTGTAGTCAGAAGTCACCTTGGTGATTGAATCCAACTCCTATTATCTTACAATTTGGTTTAGGATGGATGCAGTGGCTTACACCTATAATCCCAGCATTTTAGGAGGCCATGGTGGGAGGATCACTTGCCCAGGAGTTCAAGGAGGTAGTAAGCTATGATCATGCCATTGTACTATAGCCTGGGTGACAAAAAGTAAGACCCTGTCTCTTTTTTTTTTTTTGGAGACAGAGTTTCGCTCTTGTTACCCAGGCTGGAGTGCAATGGCGCGATCTCGGCTCACCG